TTGATAAGCAGCCTGGTCTGTGAATTTTGCATTATTTTGCTAATTGTAGACACCGCAAATGAACAAACCATTTGAAAAGAAAATGATAAACTTAACTGTCCCGACAGGGGGAAGGGTGACCGAAGAAAATCCAGTTAGTAACAGGATAGTCAGACCCCAGCAGATGTGAAGTGTGGTCTATCAGTTAACGGTAGTTCTCTAAGATAGGAACTGCTTAAAATATATTAAACGCAAAACACAATCGAGAATACTAACAGAACTGTACAGTTTATTGAAAAGATTTGAAACCGACATAGGATTCCATAGATTGAATACATTTCAAAAAGCATACATTGTTTTGGTAGTAAAATATAATATTAATTTGTTCTGAATTAATTCTCGATTCCGTTCGTTTGTTCTCCCTCTTATAGTTTTGCACACTTTGTTAAAATGGCAAAACTATTAATTAAAATTGACGAAGAGTGTTTTGTTTATTTTGCGTTTTTTATACTCTTCATAAATATGTGTTGAGCTACATACATTCGACTCGTCCATAAACAGATTTCACAGATCAAGATTTCATAACTAAAACAAAAAGAGTTGTACTAGCGCCAAGTACACCAGTTTTGAATAGTAAGATGATTTTTAAATAGGTGTTGTACCGTTATAAAACGTTTGCCCAGAGTTCTTGTCTAATAAGGTTGTAAGCTCAGTTAAATCTAGAACCAAGTTGTCCGCTTTAGCTGCAGCACGTAGTTTAGCAGATCTCGAACGTGGATTAAGGTAAACTTCCTCATCTGACGGATGAATAACGTTCTTATGAAGAGGAAGCCACGTGCTCGCTTTCGCCTTGCCTGCAACTTTTGTTCTTGATCGCAGGTAGCTCACCTCGGAGTTGGCTTCTTTGAAGAAATGTCTAACGATAGAGTCTTCTAGAGCATGAAATGAAATGACTACAAGACGCCCTCCAGGACGTAGCAGTTTGTGCGCCGTTTTCAGGGCACATTGAAGTTCATTGAGCTCGTCGTTTACAAGTATGCGCAGTGCTTGAAACGTTCTTGCCGCAGGGTGGAGGTTACGAGAAAACTGGTCGGTTCTGTTGTAGCGTACCGCTGCCGTTACAATGGCGGCTAACTGTCTCGTGAAAAGTATTGGCATCTTTCCTCGGGCTCGCACAATAGCCCTGGATATACGAACTGTAGAACAAANAACCTAATGGTCATCCCAAAGAGCATATATTAAGCACCAACCAGCTTCCTTTTCTTGTCCATATTGCCTTAATACAGCTGTAAGTTCTGTCTCGTTGATAGAATTGACCACATCAGCGGCTGTCAACAGAAGCTGCTTATCACCTCTTTCACAGCTGATATTTCTTACATCCATTCTCATATCAAGTGGACCATCTTTGTAAAAAGAAAACCCTCTGTCTGGATCATCAAATTGAACACTGGAAGCACCAATGTCAAGAAGCATTCCATCAACAGATTCATTTTTAATTCCATGGCCTTGAAGAAGTTTGTAGATATTACTAAATTTTCCCAAAATGGGAAATAACTTTCCCTTAAATTCTGGTCTCTCTGAAAGAATGTTTGCTATCTCTATTGCACTTGGATCTCTGTCAAGAGCATAGACTTTGCAGCTTGCACTTGAAAGGATTGCTGCACTATGTCCGCCAGAACCAAATGTTGCATCTATAAATATCTGCAATAGTAAATAAGAAAGTAAACATTTTTTTACTCCGGATTAGTTTGATAGTTAGCATTACTGTATCACTATTGTGACATACAAGAAAATGGCTATGGAGGTCTGACTAAATGTGCATTCCTTTGGAATGATCTGGATCAGGATCAGTGATCCGAGATCACTTGGATCATAGTGCATCAAAGACGCTGATGAACCAGCGTGGATTTGCCAGTTCCATTGATGTACCATGATCTGAGCGACTTGGATCACTGATCCTGGTCCAGATCACCCAAAGGAATGCACCCTAAAATTCTGACACAGCTGAGAGAAAAGTATGCGATCAATTATTTCTGAGAGTGGTACTTGCCATATGGGCATGTGCATCACCAAATGGTATGGTTTTAAAGCCATTTTGGCGTAAAATAGGGAAAAAAAATTCTGACCAAGTTGGTCTCAAATAGGACATGTTTTGTAAACGACAAAATTAATGGTACTCAGTCCTCCTGGTTAGCCAGGATCGATGTTATAGACAGATACCCACTTGGACGTCTGGAATAGGGTATCACCTATTTGGTTCGGTCTGAAATACTAGGTCATCGAAAATAAACTAGAAATTACTATAAATTTCGTAGAGTTATCCCTTCCCCCGCCCCTCCCCGATTTATGTTGGCTGATCAGTAGAGAAACAGTGCAGTTGAATTAGTTATGTATGTTACAAGGATTTTATTTTTAGACATCTTTCTGTGACGTCAACAATCACACATTGTAATATGGAGTTTCAATTCCGCCATGATGTTGAAGATGTTTTGTTGCCTTACCCTCACATGGATATATAAACCATATGACTATCCTTAGCAGAGCTTTTAGTTTGAATATAGAATAACCATGATAGTATTTCCCTTTCTGGTCAAAAGAAAATTACGCGATGGATAAGCTTGGTTCGTTACGAATCTGCCGTAACCCGCAGTGAAAATTTCATGACTTACCTGTCCATCACGAGGAGCTAGAAAGCTGAGACATTCCTTCAGCATCACAGGGACATGAATGGTGTGTGAATCACCTTGAGTGCAGAAGCATCGCAATTTCTGAGAAGGAAGTATAAAAAGACTTCTTGCGCAAAACAACGACAAAGAACCCGCCGCCATTTTGTTTCATTTCTGTGAAACGACTGACCAAAAGCATTGCGGATTCAAGCGCGCCTACTTTCAAAATGGCGGCAGCCAGAGTACAACTCGTGGATCCAGTCGAAAGACTGAAAGAAGAGTACAAAGCCTGGAAACACAATCACCCCAAGGTTTGTTGTTAATCAGCCCGTCTTTTAGTTGTTCTGAGGCGATTATCACTGCAGTCTGTAAGACTGTTCTATCAAGTAAGGATGCTGAAATATGGCACGTCTGAATTCGATTCGCGTACTCTGTATGCTCTGGTAACAAGAGGGCATCAAATTTTAAGCTCTTCTTGTTAAGTCTGAATATTTACTGAATTTTGGTTTAGGATTTCATCGCGAAACCAGTTAAGAAGGACGATGAAGAAATCGACTGGCTTACATGGCAATGTGGTAACTATTAAGCTCAATAAATTTTTCCATGTTGCTATTGAAGATTCCAGATTTTTCCCCCCCAATATGGAAAATTATTTTATATAGTAACAGCTAGGAGACTAACAGGAACAAACAATTAAATCATAATATTTGCCATTGTGCATTGGCTTAATTCAGCTATTTCATCTTTTGGCCTATTCCCAAAGCACCAAGGCATCACCTGGAGTAACTGTCGTTGTAGGCTGGAGTCTGGGAGTTGTAATTAGATCTTATGGGATAGGATTCCATCCAGGGGGAACTAGAAGTACAGTTTTCACTTTTGTACTCCTAGTTACTAGATCAGTGATGGATCTTGGGGAGAGGCCCAAGGGTGCCCCCCCCTTCAGAAGGAAGAAAAGCCAGCAGGGCAAGCAACCCCCCCCCCCCCCCCCCCC